AGGTGTGTCATGAATGGCCAATAGAACCCAGACCCTGTTTGGGTGGAGATTGCATGTCCAAGGACAACTCCCTTATTCCCTTTCATTCATTCATTCATTCATCATCCTGTTATTTGTCGATTGCCTCGAGCAGGCCCCAGTAACGTCTCTTTCATCCTAGCCCTGAGATTATATTCAAGGCTCTTTAGGAGAATGAGACCCATCATTGTTACTGGTATTTGGCATATTTGGTACGCCACGGGGAGTTTGCCAGACTCTGCCCTGTGGGCAGGCTACATTCGATAGCCTGCAAGTTTGTCCAAAGTAGGAATGAGATAATAAGATGTCATAAAAAGATGTCCTGATAAGATGTTGCGTGGCCGCGAATGCGGCCGCGCGGTTCCGGGAGCTGGATTTTATGGTCTCTGAGTCTTGGCCGTTGATGGGATTACACGGTGCCAGGGAGCCAGGTGGTGGGTGTGACCCCCGCCTACTGGAATTTGGAGGATCTGGGTGGAGGATGCTCGACTCCAATCCGAGTAGGCTTGGAGATCTCGGCCCCGGAACCCGCGTGGCTTTGTCCCTCTGCCAGTACCTTCATGTGTGCGGAGAGTGGTCTCAGCATGGTGGTGGCTGGTCCTGGAGGTCTTCGGCTGCCGGAGCCCTGGTCGGGCGGGGAGGAAAGCTCAACCCGGTCCCCTCCAAGGGACCCCGGCGAGGAACAGCCAGGCGCAGGGGCAGGAGACTGCCTTATTCCCTTATTCCTCAGCAAAACCTCCGGAGTTCAGCCGGAGAGCCCCCAGGGACAAGGCTGGGGCAAGCTACAAACACACTGCGTGTTCACACTGCTCGAACATTCTCCATCTCAGCCTCCTTCTCCACTGGCACCTTCTACTCTGCAGTCCGTGGGCCCTGGGCCCTCCTGAGGTACGACCCCTAATGCTTCCCTACCACGCCCCCACAGCTCGTGCCTAACCTCCTCCATAGACTCCCCCTATAGGACCCCTTTTTAGTGAGTCCTCCTCCCCTCCCTGGAAGACCCTCTGCTCCCAGCACTCTTAATGCTTCTCTACTTTCTAAGACACTTGCTCCTGTCTCTGTTTCTGCAAAGTTGAATTCTCATTCTCTAAGGAAGGGATTGGATTTGCTGCCTCCGACTCACTGAAGTATCGAGGCTGGCATCCTGCATGTTAATGAGGATTCAGACCTTGAGTAAGAGGCAGGAAAGGAGCATTAGGGTGGCAAGGACTGGCCAATCTGCCAGTCCATAAAACCTCATTCCTGTGGTGCTAGGTGAAGGGCTCTGACCTTGAGGGTGACCAGGATGTGAAACACATGTGTTGGGAGCTGTGGGTGCCTGTGAGAGACACTATCTTTCCTCGGTTCAGTGCATTCTGGCCTCTGCCCCTGCATGACAGATGGCCAGCTGTGTCCTCTCTGCTGCTTTCTCCTGGGAGTGGCCTTTCCCCTTGACCTGCTCCCAGTCCAGTGTCCTCTCGGATGTGGTGTCAGCCCATGAGTCTCTGTGCTTCCATTTCATTCTCATTGAGGGTCACCAAAGTAGGTCACCACGTTGGGCATAGACCCTGTCAGCTTTCCATCAAATGCAGGTCCCCGCCTCCCTCAGCACAATTCCGGTCCAGCCAGCCTGGCCTGGGAGCATGGCTTTAAGCTTCAAAATACCATGGCTTGTAAATCTCTCAATCTTCCTCACCCTTATAGTCCTACTTATCCTTCAGAAAGATGACTGTGTGTGTGTGTGTGTGTGTGTGTGTGTGTGTGTGTTGAGGTCGGGGCTGCTGTGATACATGGACACCTCATGCCTTATCTTCTTCGCTCACTCCCTGTATCTCACTGTTAAAAAATCCAGCCACAGGGGCTGGGGATGTGGCTCAGTGAGAGAGCATATGCCCTGTATTGTGAGGCCCTAGTTTCTTTCTTTTTTTTTTTTCTTTTTGGGTCACACTGGCGCTGCTCAGGAGTTAAGTCCTGGCTCTGCACTCAGGACTTACTCCTGGTAGTGCTCGGGGGACCATATGGGATGCTGGGGATCGAACCCTGGTTGGCTGCATGCAAGGCAAACGCCCTACCTGCTGTACTATTGGCCCTGTGAGACCCTAGTTTCTACCCCCAGAACTTCTCCTTCCCCCAATACCCACGCTTAATTAAAATTCCTTTGCAGACCCGAATCTGTTGCCAACATCTGCTCCCTGCCCAATGCAAAACAAAGTTTTTTGATCTTCAAAATACCATTAGTGAGCAAATAAATGAAATTGAACAAACAAGGGAATGAGCAAATTAAGGCCACGTTACATAAATATTTATAGCAACTTTATTCACAACAGTTGAAAGGTAGAAATAACCCAGATGACCACAATCTGTTGAATAGTGTTCTGTCCATATGACGGATTATTCTTTGGGGGGCAGAGTGTTGGGGCACACCTGGCGGTGTTCACGGATAACTCCTGGCTTTGTTCTCTTTGTTCCTGGCTTTGTTCTCTGTATCCTGGTGGTACTCAGGGGTCCATATGTGGTGGCAAAGATAGAACCCAAGTTTGCCATATGAAAGGCAAGCGCCTCTATTATTTCACCCTGCAAAGGAATGAAGTAATACTGAGACATTCATGTATGTGGGTGTTTTTACTATTTTTTCTTTCTTTGTGTGTTTGTTTTTGTTTTGGGGCCACACCCAACTGTGCTCGGGAATTATTCCTGGCTCTGTGCTCAAGGATAACCCCGGGTGAGACTCAAGGACCATATGTGGTACTGGGTTCAGACTCACATTGGTTGCATGCAAGACAAGTGCCCTACCCATTGTACAATCGCTCCAATCCAGTTTTTTTCTGTCCTTTTTATTTACTTCATTTTGTCATGGGTTTGTTTTCTACATAGGCCACGTGAGTCTGAACTGTTCGGATAGAAGAGCTGTCTCCACATTTATTGTGACCACCGTGTGGTGTTCTTCTCTGTGTATTTCATGCCAGTCATCCTCCACACATGGACTTTTCTTTCTTTTTTTTTTTTGGCTTCTTGGGTCACACCCGGCGATGTACAGGGGTTACTCCTGGCTTTGCACTCAGGAATCACTCCTGGAAGTGGTCAGGGGACCACATGAGATGCTGGGAATCGAACCCAGGTCGGCCGCATGCAAGGCAAATGCCCTACCTGCTGTGCTATCACTCCAGCCCTTTCTTTCTTTTTCTTCTTCTTTTTTTTTTCCTTTGCTTTTTGGGCCACACCAGCGATGCTCAGGGGTCACTTCTGGCTCTGCACTCAGAAATTGCTCAATGCTTGGGGGACCATCTTGGATGCTAGGGATCGAACCTGGGTAGGCCATGTGCAAGGCAAATGCCCTACCCTCTGTACTATTGCTCCAGCCCCAGATATACATATTTTTTATGTTATTTATAGTATGGTTTTATTGCTTACAAATACATTAGACAATAACAATCTTTATATAGCTTCAAGAACATTTTACATAGTTTTATTTCTTATTGAAATATAATGGAATAGGATATTATATTAATTTCAGGCGTATAACACAATGGAAGTCAGCAAGATAGTACAGGAGATAAAGCACTTGCCTTCATGCAGCTGTGGTGGCTGTGACTCTAGTTCAAATCCCTGACACCACATATGGCCCCTGAACACTGCCATATGTCATTCATGAACATGGAGCCAAAATTAGCCCCTGTGTACTGCCAGGTGGAGTTCCAAAAACACAACCAACCAACCAAACAAAAACAACACAATGTCTCTCATGTGAGTATGTTGCAAAATGATCATCATGATGCACAGTTAACATCCTCACACATGATTACAACTTTATTCCCTTATTCTTTTGTTTCTGTGCATTTTGTGATGCAAGGGATCATGTCTCAGACTTTAAGTCTATTCTACATATCCAGTACCACAGCTTTGTCTTGACATAAGCACCGTGAAGATCAACTCACTTAGCTACTTTCAAATGTACTGTTTACTGTTGTTAATTCCATATTGTACATGACATCTCCAGTGTTTATTCATTTATAACTGAAATTGTTTGAGGGTGGGGACAGGTTTTTGGTCACACCCCCGAACTTGAGAACCTTGTGATGCTCAGGGCTTGCTCCTGGTTCTGTGCTTGGGGATCATTCCTGGATGTGCTCCGGGGATCAAACCTGGGTTGATTGCATGCAAGGCAAGAACCCTAACCCCTGTACTATCTCTCTGTCCCAGATACCTCAAGATTTCTACCTTTTGGCCATTTCCATTCAGATTTCCCACAGAACGCTGCTTCTGGAGACCATGAGCCTGTTTTCTGTATCTATGAGATCAAGTTTTTGTTTGTTTATTTAGATTCCACATAAAAGAACAACCACATGGTGTGAGAAATTCAAACAGGGCCCCACACCTGTAAGGCTCTACCTCCCTAGTTATATCCTGGAGCTGTGGGTTGTCTCTTTTCTGATTTATTTCATCTCTCAAGGCCCGTTCACGTTATTGTTAATGGCAAGATTTCCTCTCTTTTATGGCTGAGCAATATTCCATCGTGCATATGCCCCACCTTTCCTTGCCTGTCCATCTGTCTGTGGACACCGGCTTCAGGCTGCGTCCTGCGTGCTGGTTCCCATGAACAGTGCTGCAGTGAGCCGCGAGTATCTGTTAGTGTTTTTGTTTTCTTCAGAGAAACATCCCCGAGAGGAATTGCTGGAGCACACAGTGGTTCTATTTTTAATTTTTCAAAGAGCATCTGGACTGGTTCCCATCGCGGCTGCGCCAGTTCCCACTCCCGCCAGCAGCCCCCATCCTGCCCCCCACATCCTCTCTGACCCCTTAGATCTTGCCTGTGATAACAGCCTTTCTGGCAGGTGCGAGACCACAGCTCACTGTGTTCTGGGGGTGCGTTTCCCTGCCACTCAGTGCCACCTGTCATTTCTGACAGGACTTTGGTTCTAGGCAGGAAAGAGCAAGCACCTCAGTCCACCATTCAAGTCTGAGAAGCAAGTGCTGGCGGATTGTCGACCGTAAACCCTATGACCTCAGGCCAAGGGAACATCTGCTTGGAAAGTCAGAAGGGTCTTGGCTAGAACCCTCGCTGCCCTCCTGCAGGCTGTTTCTTGGCCTGTCCAATAGGGGTGTGGACGCCTGTTTCCTGGGTCACCCCTAGTGGCTGGCGTGGAGATGGTGGGATGGCTCCATCTTGCAGAACTCCAAAGGCATGAACCAGAGGCCTGACCTTGTGGGCAGCGGCTCCTCCTGGGCTTCTGGCCAGTTTCTTGCCCATTCTCCTGCTGCCACAGGTTTGCCAGGAGCTGAGGGGAGAGCTGGGATGCCGGGACTACCTGGCCCAGTTGGGGCCAAAGGGGAAAACGGCTCTGCCGGAGATCCGGGACCCAAGGGAGACTGTGGAGCACGAGGTGAGCAGCTGGGCATGGGAGGCAGACACCTGTGAGCAGTGAGGCCCATGTGTCACCCTGGGAAGGGGCAGCAGATTGCTTGGAAGGTGCCCGGAGTGGGGTCTATCTCAGGAGAAAGCAGAATGTGCGGTGGGTGTGGGCTTCTGGGAGATGCTCCCTCTCTGGCGTCTGTTATGGGTCTCCTGTTAACATGCGTTTGAAAGACTCAGTATCACTGATGAGGGGGTCTCTTCTCCCAGGACTTCCCGGCCCTCCAGGTGTGCCTGGTCCAGCTGGAAGAGAGGGTCCCTCGGGGAGGCAGGGCAGTGCTGGACCTGAAGGCAAAGCAGGCCCAAAGGGAGAGCCTGGACTGAAAGGTCAGTGATTAGTGTGGGGCTGGGTTGGGGGAGGGGGCCATGACATTCCCGTCCCTGACCCCATCTAAGGCCCAGCAAGCAAGGAGATGCCAGGGTCAGCCCCCCACACCCCGGCTGTGGCCTCTTTCCCGTTACCTCCCACTGAGCAACCCCAGGCAGCAGGAGTGCCGCCTCCCCGTGTTCCCCTCCCTGCCTCTGAGGCTACCTGCTCTCAGAAGCATTTGTCCCAACTCATTCCTCTCCAGGAGACACGGGTCCGGCAGGCGCTCAGGGCTCTGCAGGGATGAGAGGCCCCCCGGGTCTGAAAGGGGAGCGAGGGGTCCCCGGGGAACACGGAGCTCCGGGCAGCTCTGGGCCACCAGGTGAGTGAGGGCATAAGCTGGGGCCCCTCCCCTGCATTCAGTGGGTCAGAGCTGGACCTGTGGGGCAGTGGGGAGTGTCTCTAGCCCAGCAGGGTGAGCGGGCGGATGGTCAGCTGTTGGGGACAGGGCAGCGCAGGGAGAGGGTGCCCGGGTAGCTTCTGGGAAGAGGCTCCAGGGAGAGGGGAGCGTCTATGGCTGGGTGAGAGGATTTCACTCTCCCATGTATGGGGAAGGCGAACCTGCTAGAAAATGAAGCTCACACAGCTCTTCTCTGTCTGACCCAAGGGCGCGGAGGACTGCCAGGACCCATAGGACCAGTGGGACCCAGAGGTCTCACTGGGCCCCCAGGACTGAAGGGGGACAGAGGGGACTCTGGAGGTAAGGTGTTGGTGACGATTTCTTGGAGCCCCACTTGATGGGGTGGGGGCAGGAAGGGAAGAGACCCCACTTAGCTCAGGTGGGCCTTACTTGGATATCCATCCCAGGGGGAGGGGCTGGGGGCTGGGTTGCTGCAAAGCCCAGCAGGATGGAAGGAGGAGGAGGCTCTTCTCGAAGCCGAAGCCGTTGCTGTTGGCTGGCGGGAATCCTGAGATGTTTGTCCCAGCTCACAGGACAGATTTTAGCTGCAGAGAGCATGGGGATGGTGACTTCTAGAGAGCGCAGTTACAAATTCCATTTCGAGCAAGCAGGTGCCCTCTGATTCCTGGAGTCAAATGCCCTCTGGTTCCTGGAGAGAGGTCCCGGGGCAGCTGGTTCACAGGGGCACCATAAGCACTGCATCCAACGCCGGGGGGCAGCAGGGGCAGCCTCTCAGCAGCCTTGGGCTTCTTGGGGTGGGGGTTTCTTGGGTCCCAGCTCTTCACCCCGAGCTGTAACACATACCTGCCCCCGGCGTCCTTTCTGAGGCCCACTGGCCTCTGAGCTGAGCCCAGGCTGTGTGGACGCGTCTCTCTCTGCCCTGCAGATGTCACTCTGAGGCAGCAGCTGGTGGCCTTACAGAAACAGGTGCAGGGCATGCAGGAAGCCGCGGCGCAGAGGGAGAAAGGTGAGTGTGTGGGCCGGGAGCTGAGCCCGTCTGCCCAAGGTGAGGCCCCGCACTGAGCCTGGGCCTTGGTCAGGGATAGGCATGGGCCGGGGCTGTGGGTAGGGCCAGGTCTGGACCGGGCAGTGAGTGGGGCAGAGCATGGCAGTCCCAGGCTTCAGGAGCAGACATGGGAGACGCAGTTCATAGTGCTCACGGAAGCATGAAGGAGACAGTCAGGCCCTGAACCCGATGCAGTCAAGTAGATCTTCCCGCTCTGCCTGCTGTGTGATGATCTCTGTGAAGGGCAGGTGGACGCCTGGTCCAGGTCACACATTTTTAAAAAAAATTATTGAATCACCATGAGATACAGTTATGAGCTTTTGTGTTTGAGTTACAATCACACAATGATCAAACACCCATTCCTCCACCAGTGCACATTCCCCACCACCAATCTCCCCAATATACCCCCACCTTTCCCAACCTCCCCCTGCCTGCATGGCAGACAGTTTCCCCCATACTGTCTCTCTACTTTTAGGCATTAAGGTTTGCAATACAGATACTGAGAGGTTATCATGTTTGGTCCTTTATTTACTTTCAGCGCATATCTCCCATCCCGACCGATGCCTCCAACCAGCATTTTCTTAGTGATCCCTTCTCTATTCCAGCTGCCTTCTCTCCCAGCTCATGAGACAGGCTTCCAGCTATGGAGCAGGATTCCGGGCCCTTGTATCTACTATCCTTGGGTGCCAGTCTCATGTTATGTTATTTTATACTCCATAAATGAGCGCAGTCCTTCTATATCTGTCCCTCTCTTTCTGACTCATTTCACTTAGCATGATACTTTCCATGTCTATCTACTTATAAGCAAATTTCATGACTAGCGATAGCACAGCGGGTAGGGCGTTCGCCTTACAAGCGGCCAACATGGCCGACCCGAGTTCGATTCCTCCGCCCCTCTCGGAGAGCCCGGCAAGCTACCAAGAGTATTCGATATGCCAGACACGGTAACAACAAAGTCTCCAATGGAGATGTTACTGGGCCCGCTCGAGCAAATCAACGATCAATGGGAGGGCCTTTACCTTTACCTTTACCTTATTTTTTTAATAGCTGCATAATATTCCTTTGTGTAGATGTACCAAGTTTCTTTAACCAGTCGTCTGTTCTCGGGCACTTGGGTTGTTTCCAGATTTTAACTATTGTGAACAGTGCAGGTCACACTTATGACCTCTGCAGGGCCTCCTTGGTGTGTGAGCACCCCAGAGATGGGGAGGCACAGCCTAGAACTGTAGAAAGTCCAGACACTGTCCCGAGAACGAGGCTATCCTGGGACCTGACCGTGGCACCTGGCCGACATCCCTCTCCTGCATCTCTGGGTGTTTGTTATTATTCTTCTATTTGGGGTCCATATTCAGCTGCACCTTGGGCTGACTCCTGACTCTGCACTCAGGGATCACTCCCAGAAGGCTTGGGGGATCACAGGGATTACCCAGGATTGGACTGAACCCTTCTCAGTAATGTCCAAGGAAAAGCCTAACCCTGTCGCTCCAGCCCATCTTTGGGTATTGAAGTGGTATATAAATCAGCACTTCACTGCCCCTCCTCCTTCTCTGCTCTCTCTGACGTCACATGGACTTAAGTGCACATCATGCAGCAAATCTCATTCATAGAAGGAGAAAAGGAAGGAGATGCAGGAAAAGGAGGAGGAGGAGGAGGAGAAAGAGGAGGAGGAGGAGGAGGAGGAGGGGAATTTTCTGAAGGAACAGAGCATAAAGGGGCTGGTTGATGAGATACGGGGTTGGCTTCTAAGTACCCAAGCTAACTAAGTGCTGCTGCACCTAGAGTTTTGTAAGTCTTCAAAATGTATTTTGCAGCTCCATTCACTCACACATGTATATGTTGATGAGCCACAAGGAGACCACGCACCTGCCACATTGGGTCTACTTTCATGCCGTTACCCTCTCCACCGCACCTCCACACAGCAGCACACGCCCACATCTTAAGTTTCACCCTGCACCTTCAGACAAATGCATGAACACAACAGGTTTGTAAATTCATGCCCAGCCAGATACGTGAGACTTCAACCAACGAACTCTTCCACTCCTCTTGTCCGGGCTTGCTGTGGGTGCCCTCCATGGAGGATGTGTCCCCCAGTCTCTTGTGAAAGCCCCCCAGAGAGAAGGGTGGAGACACAGTGCAGCCCCGCTCATTGGAGCCCAGATTTTCCTGCATGAGCCCCAAAACACACGGGTGCAAAGTGCACCCCACTCTGGAAATGAGGCATTGGCAACCCTGGGGAAGGGAAGTCACTTTCCCTTGCTCTGCTGCAGTCAATGTCAGGGAGAGCTCTCGACTGGGTTGTATTTTAGGGCACTGTCCAGCCCTGCTCTGTGCCTGTCCAACTCGCACCCACTTCACTGGGGGGTGGTCTCCGTCTTCTTTTATTTTTTTAAATTTTTATTTATTTATTTTGCTCTTTGGGTTACACCCGGCAAAGCACAGGGGTTGCTCCTGGCTCTGCACTCAGGAATTACTCCTGGCGGTGCTCGGGGGACATTATGGGATGCTGGGAATCGATCCCAGGTCGGCTGCGTGCAAGGCAAACACCCTACCCGCTGTGCTATTGCTCCAGCCCCGGTCTCTGTCTTCTTAGCCAGCACTCAGGAAGGTGGACTTGTGGGCTATCACCCACCTGCAGGCCATAGAGGCCAGCCTGCAGGGGAGAGAAGAGCTGCTCGCTGCTCTGAATCTCGTACCCTCTCCTGCCCTCAGCCTGTCACATAGCCCGGACACACTCCAAAGTTCTGACTGCTGGGACCCTCTCCAAACTTCCGACTGCTGAGCGCGAGCACCCTGCGCTATTTTTCATCCTCTCAGCAACAACCTCAGGTCCTGACCAGAGTGGTCCCAGTTCTAGGCAGGGATTGACAAGCTGGGACTGTGGGGTGAGGTGGAATGAGTGTCTGGGGCGGGGAGAGAGTGAGAAGGGAGTGTTCATGAACCTGGCATGCTGGAGGCTCAGGCTTGATCTCTGGTACCTCATGGTCCTCCAAGCACCACTGGGAATGATCCCCAAGCACCGGGCTGAGAGGAGCCTATCTGCACTGCCAGATGTGACCCCCCCCCACCAAACTCCTAAAAAACCTCAAATACAAGAAGATTCAACTGAAAAAAGGAAAGTGACCATCTAGGCTTTTGTGTCACACCCAATAAGGCCTTTTGGTGACTGTATTTCATTGCAAAATAATTGCAGATTTTATGACAACTTTCCTGGGGGGTAATGGGGTTCGCACCACACACCAGGTTCTCAGGGGCTCATCCTGACTCCATGCTCAGGAGTGACCCCTGGGGATGCTCAGGGGAGCCAATGCAGTGTTGGAGATTGAAATGGGGTCTACCACATGCCTTAAAGGAGGTTATAAACCAATCTCCAGCACGGTAAGAGACAGGACTTGGTGATGATGTGGTGTGATCTGGGACATCTGGTGGCCAAAGGAAACTTTGGTGGCCGTGTGTGACTTTGGTCCCCTTGCTTGACCCCTCTGCCTCCCAGTGTTGTGACTCGAGGACCACAGGGCACGTGCCAGTCTGGCACTGCACTGGAGCGAAGGGTCTTGCTTTCGCCTTGACTGGGGCTCTGATGTGGGGGTCACCATTCCCCGCCCCTCCCCGCCAGCACCCCCTGAGCTGACCAGACTCTCTTCTTGCTCTAGCGGGGCTCTTCCCCGGTGGCAGCCGCGTGGGCAAGAAGATCTTCAAGAGCGGAGGCTTCGAGAAGGTGTTCCAGGAGGCCCAGCAGGTGTGCGTGCAGGCCGGGGGCCAGCTGGCCTCGCCTCGCTCGGCGGCCGAGAACGAGGCCTTGCAGCAGATCGTCACGGCCGCGAACAAGGCCGCCTTCCTGAGCATGACCGACATCAAGACGGAGGGCAAGTTCATCTACCCGACGGGCGAGCCCCTGGCCTATGCCAACTGGGCCCCGGGGGAGCCCAACAACAACGGCCAGGCCGAGAACTGCGTGGAAATCTTCGGCAACGGCAAGTGGAACGACAAGTCCTGCGGGGAGAAGCGCCTGGTGATCTGCGAGTTCTGAGGGGCGGGGGCAGGGTGCAGAGCCGCCCCCCACCCCCGTGTGCTGTCCCCGTGGCAATAAAGAGGCGCCAGCTCCGCCCCGAGGGCGGGGCTTCTCCACCCACCTGTGCTCCCCACTGCAGAGGGGAAAGTCAGGCCTCCAAAGGGGGACGGGCCCGGGGCAGCTCCGGGGCTCAGGGACTGGAGGTTGGCCCCTGGCACTGTGCTCCCCTCTCCCCGCCAAGCACTACAGGGTGTGGCCCCAGTGGGCCCAGCAGTGCCAGGGCCCAGGCAGCTCCAGGTCACTGGGCCCAGGATGAAGCAGGCCAGTCTGGCTGAATATTGCCATGGTGACCCCCAGGCCCTCTCAGCACTATTTGGAAGTGCCTCGGCCCCCACCCCAACCTCCTGCATGAGGTCTCCAAGACCTCACTGTTAGAAAGCCCAATGGCTCCCCCTTCCCCCTCTCCTCCTTTGGGGACTGTCACCTCACTTCCTCCTCTGGTCTTTCTGGTCTTGGAATCCAAATCACACTCTTTTTTTTTTTTTCTTTTTGGGTCACCCCCGGCGATGCACAGGAGTTACTCCTGGCTCATGCACTCAGAAATTACTCATGGTGGTGCTCGGGGGACCATATGGGATGCTGGGAATCGAACCTCAGGTTGGCTGCATGCAAGGCAAACGCCCTACCCGCTGGGCTATCGCTCCAGCCCCCCCAAATCACACTCTTTTATTTATTTATTTTTTATTTTGAGGGAAACCCCCCTCTCCCCCAGTGGTGCTCAGGGTGGCCTGGGGTCCCTCTGGGCTGTCTTAGTCGATTTGTTTGCTTTGTTTGGCTTGGGGGCCATGCTCGACGATACTCAGGTGTTACATCCTGGCTCCACACTCAGGAATCACTCCTGGATGTGCTCAGGGGACCATAAGGGATGCTGAAGATCGAGCCCAGGTTGGCCACATGCACGGCAAGCACCCTACCCACTGTACTATCGCTCCAGCCCCTGCCTCAATCAATTGGGCTTGAAGATGTGGGGCTAGCTGTGCTGGGCATTCACCAGGCCTTGCTGGCAGTTCTTGGAGGCCTCTAGGGCTACACCCAGCTGTGGACGGGAAGATGTGGCTTCGGGGGAGGAGCTAGGGTCAGTCACATGCAAGGCAAGCATCTTAACCCCTGTCTCCAGGTCATACTGTCACCTGTTTTCCTTATCCGTATGGCGTATGGCGGTTCCTTCTCAATCTCCTTTACGAACTCCTTCCCTTTATGACCACTTTAAATAGTGCAGTGCCTGCACCTCAATTCTCATCTCCCCTTATACTTGCTCGAGGAGTGAGCTCATCTCTCCCATGGTTCCAAATTCCTACCCTGGGATGATGGTGAAGAGCCCGTTTCTATGCCCCAGAGACTTCAGCCAATGTAGTCGAGTCCCCAGCTGAGAGGCCTTAGGACGTGGCAGCAAGTGTCCGCTGTGCATACAGCTGGGCTCTGGGACCCACACCCTGGGGACCCTGCCTCCCCTCACACTGCCCGGGACACCTACCCCCACCTGTACAATGGCTCACGGGTAGAGGGAGGGACCACCAACTGCACAGAACTGATTCCTTCCAAATCTCAGGGTCTGAGGGTTCAATCACGCTCAGGATGATCCCCAGCCTTCCACTTACTGAGGATAATTTTTCCCACGCTCCCTCAGAAATAGAAATCTGGGAACACAGAGGGGCAGGGACTTGTACAGAGCCACAGGGAGAATTGGGACAAGGTCACTGGACTCCAAAGCTTGCCCTTTGGGCCTGTATATTAAAAAGATTGGGTTGGGGGACATATCCGGCAGTACTTGGGGAACATGTGGTGCGAGAGAGTGAGACTGTATACAGAGCAGGCACCCCAGCCCTTTGAGCAATCTCTCCTGCTCTGGATCCACAAAAATTGAAGTCAAATCCTTACGTATATTTAGGTGCTTTGAGTATTTCCTTTATGGGGTGTGGTGCCAGGGTTTGAACTCTGGTCTGATGCGTGCAAGACAGGTGCTTGACCACTAAGCCACAGTGCTGGCTCCTTCCTGTTTATGATTTTCCTGAACCATGACTGCAAAAATGATTTAAATAACATCTAAGTGTTGGGATCACATGAGGATGGTCCACAGGCTGACAGGAAGAAGTGACCAAGGAGGAACCAGTCACTCCATCTGAGTCCCCTGAGAACAAGACACTGCTCACTGACCCTTTCCTCAAGGGGCGCTCCAAGGCCCATATCTTCCCCTAACACTCAGGCAGCCACACCGGAACACAGGACAGTGTAACTGAAAATGGGCTGTAACCCTGTGCTTGTGTGTGTGTGTGTGTGCGCGTGCGCGCGCACACACACACACACACACACAGACACACACACTCATGTCTGTTAATATCTTTCTCCTGTGATAGAAAAACTCTCCATTCCCGGCAGTGTCTGAAATATGCCAGTTACACAATCCTGAGAGTTCTCCAGCGTGAGGCCACACCTGGACACACTCATCAAAGGCACTCAGAGAGGCCTTTTTATAGAAAAGGAAACAACTGGATCTAATTCCAGCCAAAGAGAAACATATTTTTCTAAGAATAGAGAGCTCTGTGTTGGCCCATGGCGGAGGTGACACGGTGCACGTCTGGCCTCAGCCTGCCCCATGCATCTCCCTCTGCGTCGTCTCTCAGCTGCCAAGCCCAGGGACATGCAGAGGACCGTGCAGAGACAAGAGAGTTTGCCAAAAGCAAGTCAAAACCACTGTGTGCCTGGATCCACCTCTCGGATGTCCACCTTTGAGGGCAAAGGGGTGGCCCACAGTGGGAGATAGGAGAGGGCCCCACTGAGGTCGTGCTGGTCTGGAAGACGCACTGAAAGCGGTCACTTCCGGCACAATCCCTCACCCAAACCCATTCCCTGGCAAGAGGGAAGGCAAGGGGACAGAACTACATGACTCAGTAGGAAGAGAAAAAATCTACTTGGGGTTGAAGGTCAAAGTGCTGGGACCCACCCTCCCTCAGCCCACCCCAAAAGTTTTCTTTGATCCACTTGCACCTCCAGCCACAGAGGTAGGGGCGAACAGAGAACCAGTAAGGAGGGTTTTTGCTGCCATCTGTAGACACGTCCTGATGAAAATAAAGGACTGGAAAGGAACGTCTCCGGAAGTTCAGGTGTTAGCTTTCCTTTCCTCTTTTTTATAAGTGCCTCCTGGTGGTCGCCAGAAATCACACACACTTGGCTGTGAAACTTGTGCCCTTCAGGGGAGGTGCTCACTGGGGGGCGGCGGGGGGGAGGGCACTCGAGTGGTGGGCTCACACATACTCAGTTGCAGTGTGCTGGAGATGGCGCAATTTGTCATAGGTCTGGGTTATCCAAACAGCAGAGCCACTGGAATGGACTATGGCATGAGGGGTGGGCGAGGGACTCACAGACCCAGGCTTCAGGCTTTGTTCTTTTTCCGCCAACAAACTGTCCCCAGTCTCCGCTAAACCTTATCTGAGACGTTTTCTGCACACACTAACACGTGCACAGTCCTGCCCTAAACATGGTAGTCTCGGGCCCCCGTTAGATGCCAAGAAAAGCCAGCATAGTATGATTCTTACATTCTCAGGAGATCAGTGCAGGTGACATCACGGGTGGGGGTGGTTGTTGGGGTTCTCTCGGGCCCAGAGGGGAGCAGTCACATTGCTTGCAGAGGGAAGTCCCTGCTCAGTTTAATATTCTCACATCTATATGCCAAAACAGTAACAACAAGTCTCACAATTTGTTGTGAGACGTTACTGGTGCCCACTCGAGCAAAACCATGAACAACGGGAGGACATTGCTAGTGCTAGGACAGTGCTCCTCCTGGACTTGAAGGCTCCTGTCACCAAGCCAGCCCACATCCTGCTGAAGGGCCAGGAAGGGACTTCAATGTTCGCTTTTCTAGAATGCTTTCAAGGCTCTGAATTCCCTTGATAGAAGAGATACTGACAGGTGGGTTTTGTTTTTATTTGGGAGTCACACCTGACAATGCTCAGGGATTACTCCTGGCTCTGCACTCACTCAGGAATCGCTCCTGGTGGTGCTCGGGGGACCATAGGGGATGCTCACACACCCCATTCTGGCAGGATTACTTGTATTAATACATTGACCCTCCACTGACTTAAGCCGTGTTGTTCCTCTAGACAGCGTGGCTGCAAAGACTGAGAGAGGGACTTGTGAGGGTTGAGCCTGAGCAAAAAGATATTTTCCGTGTTTATTTAGTAAGTAGATGAAATGAATGACATGAATGAGTGAAAGAGCTGCATAAATGATATCCTTCATTCCTACTTGTGGGTCTATTTGTGGTGTTATATAAAGTGTTTTCAAGATGTTTCCAGGTCCTTTGATCTGGGGAAATAGCTCTGGGACTTCACTGTTAGCTTTCCGGGACATTGATTATGTTTCCAAGAAGTTCAGTTTCAGACAGAAAGGACTGGGGCCAGGCCAGAGCGGGAAGGTCAGGTGGTAACTTCAGGCCAAGGCAATACATTCTGAGACCAGATGGTTGGGTCAGAACAGGAATGAGGGTAAAAATGGATGCATACCTGGGTCCTGAAGGAGCAGAGCCTCGGAGAGAAAAAAGAGAATGTGATACCGCTAAAGAAAGACTCAAATCTCTCAAAAGAGTAATTGAGGCTATGAGGGCTCCATCCAATAATTCCAAAGCTCTTATGAAAGAAATCAACATCCTAAAACACTCAGAAAAAAATTACTTAAAATACCACAGTGGGGCCAGAAAGATAGTTCAAAGGACTGAGTGCATGCTTTGCATTAGAAGCTGTTGATCCCTGGCACTGTATGTGGTTCCCTGAGCACGCCAGGAGTGAGCACCAAGTACAGAGAGGGGAGTGACCTTTGAGCACTGTCTGGTGCAGCCCAAGAACAAAACTTTAGGGCCGGTCCCAGTCTCGGTTTGAAAGTGAGACAAACAGGACAGAGAATGAGGGTTTGCTGTGCCCTGGGATGTCGTGACCCAGCATACCGAGGCCTATGGACACCCAGTG